ACCACCACGGCCCTGAGTCTCGTTGTTTTCACCTTCATCAGCGGTAGTCTCCACACCAGGCTCTTGAGTGGGCCGTCGGCGACGAGGACCACCACGACGTCTCTGTCCCGACTCATCAGTAGGGCGTTCACGGCGGGGCCCTCCACGGCGTGGGCCTCCACGAGTGCGACCTTCTCCTGACTCTTGTGTGGGATTTTCACTCTCTGGTTCACCTGTGAGGCCTTCGACACGTCGTCCGCCTTGTTTGCTAGGGCGGCCGGAGCGGTTGCGTCCACCACCACGGGCCTGGTTTTCATTGTTTCCGCCTTCTTCAGCGGTAGTCTCCTCGGTAGGCTCTTGAGTAGGTCGTTGGCGACGAGGACCACCACGACGTCTCTCTCCCGACTCATCATTAGGGCGTTCACGGCGGGGCCCTCCACGACCGCGACCTCCAGATTCTCGTGTGGGATTCTCACCCCCTGTTTCACCCGTTGGGCGCTCGCCACGTCGTCCGCCGCGTTTGCCATCGCGCTTTGGCCCGTTGTTGGATGCCCCGGCTACTTGTGATTCAGTAGTTTCACCACTGGCTTCCTCTTCGTTCTCGCTTTGATCACTGTTGCCTTTCTCCGCTCTCTCATGCTCATGGGCATGCTGCTTTCCGGAGGCTATGCGCTTGAGAATGCATTTGACTGGACGCGGCAACCCTCTGAGGATATTTGGAACGTCGGAGTCGCTCTGGCTGTGGTGCTCGACGAGGAACTGTCGAAGACCAGTCAGTCGCATTTTCAGCTCACCCAGGCATTCACCAAGTGTTGAGTCAGCACCGCAGCTGAAGCCTTGCAGCGGGTGCTCTTCACTCTGAAAAATAGCGGGCACATTCTCTTCTGTGCCTGCTCTTGTGGATCCACTGCCCTTCAGGATGCACTTCAGTGGATGTGGCACACCTTTGAGGATATTTGGACCGTTGGGGTTGCTCTGGCGGTGACCTTCAATTAGAAATTCTCGAAGACCAGTCAGCCGCATTTTCAGCTGACCCAGACATTCACCAAGGGTTGAGTCAGCATCGCAGCTAAAGCCTTGCAGAGGGTGCTCTTCGCTCTGAAGAACAGCGGGCATTTTCATTGCTATGGCTGAACTTGCCACAAGGGCAAGCACTAGAAATCCCTTTATCATTTTCCCAATTTCGTTTTGGAGACTCACTGTTCGAGTACTCTGGAATAGACTGATCTGATCTTCTCAGTGAAAACCTATTCACTTTTATAGTACCCTGGTCGGTTTCCTCATTATGTGTTGCCACGTCTTTTGCCTTTATCGGCAATGTTGATGTTGCTGCTGCTGCTGCTGCTTCTATGATTTCGCCACGCGTTGCCAGAAAAGACCTGACGATTGCTGACCTAGAGAGATGAGTTGCGATCTTTTCATTAGGAAAACGCCTGTAGACAGTCCGTACCACTGTGTGCAGCCACTAGGCATCATAGTAAACTGTGTGTGACAGATTGTATCAGCTCACTTTGTCATCGGCCTTTGTCTATCCTCCTGACCCGTGCCACTTTGAACTAGCCACCAGGACATCGACTGTCATCCACTCGCAATCTGTCATGCCGTATGGGGTGCTGCTGTAAACACGAACGTGTGGCTAGGTGCATGAGCAATGACAGGTTAGTCCACGCGATACTCGCTACTGGTACATGTACATACGTCCCACAAACGCTCTCCGGTGAGTGAGAATTGAGCCACACAGACACAGCCCGGCACGAAGTCAAGCGCAACGCAGCATGGAAAGCGCCCACGCACAGCACAACTAAAAGACTGTACCCTTTCTGACCGTCCTTGTCAGCATCATGCGTGTACTAGCTGGCTCCTATAGCAGTACTATTATTCTGGTGAATCTTACACTATCAGATTGGGCGTTCAATTTTAATGTAAGGCTGGTTAGCAAGATGGTGTCGCTCATGCCATGGCTTTTCCACACATATAGAGGTTAGGAATCGTCGTCCCACGAGGTTGAAGCAATGATCTAAAATCCACCATCAGATCTCATCGCGACACTCAAGTCTCTGAGGGTTTCCCACTACGCAGTGCCATTATTGCAGAGTTATTCCTGGGTGAGCGCCGGGACCCAAAAAATGCACATTAGAGGACCAGCGCCTGTTCCATTTACCAGCGTGCTGGAATCTATCGGCATTCTCATTCATTGGTGTCCTAGAACACACTCACTTTTTGTTTTCAGAAGCACCAAGATACTCAGAGCACAATAAGAAGTCAAGAAAGAAACCTGGTACAGATTCACACAGTGCACTTCCATATTTTGATGATTATAATTTATAGGCACAAGAGATGGGTCGACAGCATCAAAAAAGACCTCAAGCCTTTGAGTGCGCCGATTCAGGAATGCCTCAACCTCGCCACTTGGCAAGCGACTGTTCTACCTATCTATAATTCTGTCTACTCTTGAGTATGGTAGCACCGCATATGTACACTGTTTGTCGCAAGCTCTTTATAACCAACTTCTTGCTGCCAGCAACTTAGCGCTAAAGATTTTTTTCCTTGGATAGAATTACCCCAACTGCCCTTCTCTACAGTAACACTAATGTATACACCCTTGAATAACGCCTCCTTTTCAAGACCTACGTATTTTCGCTGCCTGAATGGCCTTGCTTGCTCTCTCCTACAAAACCACTTCACTCTTCGTGCTCATGGTGCTCACACTGCTGCCATTACCCGCAGTCAGGTGTCTGCCGCGCTTGTTTTACCCCCTGCTAGCACACGCCATGGGCTCAGTGCAATTTCTTACGTAGGCGCTGACCGATAGAATGCACGGCCACCTGCTTACCGCCTTTCTAATTCACCTGCTGAATTTCGAACATCCATCAAGACGTTTTTAGGGTTCCCTGTAAGAAGGCGATGACGCCTGTTGGGGATTCCCTAGTAAAATAAGAATAAAAATAATATAGATAAAAACAAGCAACTCTGGTTAATAACGGTCATGCATGACCCCGTATGATTTGTTATACGGGCAATAGGCGTGTCGTCATGTACATGTAGTAGCTTGAATTATGTGACTCTCCCTGTACTGTCATATAACAGCAAACTTTGTATCATTCCTCTCGTATAATCGCTGATGATGACCTCCGGGGTGAACATTTGGACTATTTACTGTACTTGTACATGGTGTAGGCAAGGACTGTTTGTTTGTTGCGAGTTGGGTGCACTGAATACATGTACATGACACAGCTACAGCGGAGTTTCAAAGTTCTTAAAAAATATGCGACCTGTTCATATCCTTGTTATTATAGGCGATATAGTGGCCGAAATGAATGCGGTGTTGCAGGCTCTTGAACACTCTATTCATCACTTGGACTTAACTTAAGCGTGCAACTCATGTATCAGTGCCAGCGAGCAAGTTTTTCTTCAAACTTTTATAGTTTGCATCTTCCCCTCAAACCAAAGGAAACAGTCCTGTATAATGTTCTAACACTGTTAATGAAAGTCTGTTTCAAGGTAGGCTCTAACTTAGAAGCAAACCAGTACATGTTTGGATTGCAAAGCAATGCAGAAAAAAACAAATGTACATGTACATGTATAGTACTCATAAAAAGGACACACTTCAGGCTCATTACAAACATCTTGAAAGTTTTTGTCTTCACAAGTATACTTTCAAGCCTTCTCATCAGGTGAAATACAGGCAAGAGAAAAGGAACAGGAACAGTGGATTAAATACAGTAAGAAGGTGGTAAAACAGCGCAAAAAGAAAGAAAGAAAGAAAGAAGATAGCTAAAGTAAACAGCGAAAATTGCAATAATGACACAAAGGTGCAAATGCGAGAAAACTCAATAAGCGCGACATGTAGTGCGACAACAAGAGACAACCACTGGACATACATGTAACTAACGAGGTTTTGACGACCTACCTAACAGCCTAAGTGTGAATTTGATTTGTTTCTGTTTGCAAAGGTTGGGTTTCCTTGTGTGGATGTATACAGCTTCCAAAACATTCAGCAATCTAGCACTGCGTACACGTGACACAATCGAAAAACAATCATCCGAATACACAGCACGACAATCAGGATGCTCAAACAAATGACTAGCAATGGACGACTCATACTTATCAGAACTAACATCAGAACAATCAGCATGTGCGGTGGACACATCCGATTTCACATGGCTAGTCGAGTGGACCCTAGCCGTTGCCTCTGTCTGTGCTTTAGTCGCTGCCATCGCCGCCGTTGCCGATCTTGTTATTCTTCTGGTTGATGTGGTTCCTGTCACTGCCACGCACGTAGGTGTCTTGTCCGGTTGTTTTTCTGGTGGTCTAGTTAATTGTGAGGTGACGTTCCTTGGTGTTGATGCCGCTGCGTTGGACCATCTTGTACCAGGATGATTCTTTGCTGGACGTCCCCTCCGTGGTCGAGTGGTGGTCGAGTGGATCGTGCGTGTTGTGGAATAAGGTGTAGCGGTGCGTGTTGTCGGATGCGTGCGTCCAGATGTTGAAGAGTCCTACCTACATAATATACCTGTATTTCACCTGATGAGAAGGCTTGAAAGTATACTTGTGAAGACAAAAACTTTCAAGATGTTTGTAATGAGCCTGAAGTGTGTCCTTTTTATGAGTATTATCGCATTTTTGTCTCAGAGGAAACTGTTTACATGTATAGTAGTTGGGTTATTCATGCCTGAAACAGGTTGTTGCCGATCTTTACGATGTGATGACATTTACATGTGGATAAAAAAGAATTTGTTCAAGAATCGGGAGAACTTCAAATTCAAGGGATCAGTCAGGAAAGTGAACTGTCTGAAAAGAGAAACAATTGTCAGACCTAGCAGGACTCTCCCCGAATGATACTTTGGATAAAGAAAATTTAATGGTGAAATTATTCGTGAACAACGAACAGTGCATGCGAAAAGGGATGATTTAAAAAAATTGTTTCCATAATAGGGTCACGTGATAATCGACACTGTTTCATTGATCACGAGAACGCTTGATGGAGACAAACGAGAGCTATCTTAACAGTTGTTTTTTGCTTACTGTCTACCGAAAAGCCATTTCAGAAATCCGGGTCGGCGTCCATTGCCCTCTTCGCTACTGTCGGCGCCCTCTGTACTGTCAACATTACTGGGCTCCTCTGTAGAAGGTGTTCCGCGTCTTTGGAAACCGAATGGTCGTCCACGACGCCTTGCTCCTTCTTCATCAGAACCAACCTCGCCTGTTGGACGCTCACGACGTGGACTACGGCGGCCTCCACGACGTCCACCCTCTCCTTCAGTCTCGCCAGTTGGTCTTTCACGACGCCTCGCTCCTTCTTCATCAGAACCAACCTCGCCTGTTGGACGCTCACGACGTGGACCACGGCGACCTTCACGACGTCCATCCTCTCCTTCAGTCTCCCCAGTGGGTCGTTCACGACGACCTGGCCTGCTTCGTCCACCACGTCTCCGTTCTTCAGTGACGGAGCCCTCCTCGACGCTGCTCGCCTTTGCAGTATCCTTTGTAGGCCTCTGGCGGCGGCGTGGATCATCTCTAGCCATATCTGACTCGCCTGTAGGACGCTCACGGCGAAGGGGACCACCACGTCGACCACCACGGCCTTGATTCTCGTTGTCCGCACCATCATCGCTGCTAGTCTCACCATCCTCCGAGGTGGGTCGCGGTCGACGAGGGCCGCCACGGCGTCTCTCCCCCATCTCATCAGAGGGGCGTTCACGGCGGGGCGCTCCACGTCGTGGTCCGTCGCGGCGACGTTCTTCTCCTGATTCTTGTGTTGGATTCTCACCCTCTGCAGTAGAATCATTACCACCTCCACGACGACCTCCCTGGCGTTCCTCGGTCTCACCTATTGGGCGCTCTCCACGTCGTCCGCCTCGCCTGCCATTGCGCCTTGGACCGTTGTTGGTTTCCTCCGTCACTTGTGATTCAGCAATATCTCCACTGGTTTCTTCTTCATCCTTGCTTCGATCACCGTTGACTTGCTCCGCCCTATCGTGCTCTTCGGCATGGTGTTCTTCGGAGGCAATGCGCTTCAGGATGCATTTGAGTGGATGCGGCAGACCTTTGAGGATATTTAGAACGTCGGAGTCGCTCTGACGGTGATGCTCGATGAGAAACTGTTGAAGATCAATCAGCGCCATTTTCAGCTCACCCAGGCATTCACCAAGGGTGGAGTCAGCACCGCAGCTAAAGCCTTGCAGTGGGTGCTCTTCACTCTGAAGAACAGCGGGCATTTTCATTGCTGTGGCTACACTTGCCACAAGGGCAATCACTAGAAATTCCTTCATTATCTTTTGGTTTTTTATTGGAGTCTCTTTCTTGATTTTGCTTGTTATGGATGAACTGAACTTCTCAGCGAAATCATTCCACTTTTATAGCATGTTGGCTGGTTTTATTTATAAATCCGCCTTTAGGTTGACCATGTCTTTCCTCTTCATGGGCGATATACTGATTTCGTTGCTTTGAAATTCAACCATACTAGCGGTTTCTGGCTAGTATCAGTTCTATCACACTTATCAATCGTCCTTATTGGCGTCACGCCATCGTGGAATAAAAGAATATAAAAAACCGAGATGTTCTCGACAGGGTATTATGTCTTCTTTCAGTGTCATAGTTCCCGATGTTTTCAGCCCTGCAACGTCTATCCTCTGTTTGTACCACTTTGTACCACTAGTACGCACTATGCTGAACTCGTAGTTTGACAGATTCGAAAAATAGGCTATTCACGGATGTCATCGGGCAGTATCAATCCTCCCACACCATCATGGTGTCACAGTGACGCTTTCAACCAACCAGAGTGACATCAACTGTCATCTACCTGCCTACAACTTACAAGGCTACAGCCTGCATCTGCGCTGCACTACTATTCCCAGCTGATAAAACCAAACAAGAAAATTGTTTCTGCGTGCTTTTACTAACTGTCAAATTTGGCTGCACAGTTCATTCAAACACGGCCTAACGGTCAATCAGTGCACGTGTTTAGAACAGGTCTACACAGCCTGGCACGAAGGCAAGAGCAACACTACAAGAGCAAGCGCCCACGCAACACTTCACACAGCAGTGCCAGCACAGCACACGTACCGGTACTTCGTTCTATAATCTAGCATTCTGCACTGTCGTGAATTTGTGCGCTGCCAGGCACCGCAATCATTTACATGATTGTATCTGTTGATGCGTATTGATTGAATTTGTTAACTTGAATAAAAATCTGGCAAAGCCCATTTCCTTTCTCACTAATGCTGTATGGTAGTCGGCACCTAATTCTAGGATTCATTTTAGACGGCAAACACACTATGCCTGTTGGACATATTCTGCGTTGCGAGCGTTGACAATAAAAATATATTATCATGTCTGATTTGGAATCCACGGACAATACGTCATGTACATGTAACATGGAACCCGCGGATAAGATAATTATAATTTTGATAGTCAAACACTTTAGGGCGATGAACTACAGTATCTACCCACTCTCAGAACTGAAATTCCTAATCCAATGCTTAGGGCCGGTTGGAATGTCTTGGCAGGATCAAAATAATTATCATCCGAGCACGCCTTGCACTTGACTGTCAAAGGTTCAATGGATACTTGAAGTACCGGTATACCTGGCAGCGCAGATATTTCATGGCAGGGAGGGTTTAATAGTAGGAAGTGCGTGTGCTACATTGTGCTTGGTAAGTGTTGATGAATAGCGTGGGTGCTTTCTCATGTGGTGTTGCTCTTGCCTTCGTGCTGGGCCGTGCAGCTCTGTTCTAACTACTGCACTATTATTTTCTGTACTTTCGGTGCATCTGATGCATACCTAAAATTTCAATCCACCGAACATACACTAACACATATACTGTATGATATAATCCAATAGGGAACTGTTTCTCTGTAGCTACACTATCTGTGCAACTGACCTGGCCTTTTGCCCTCACACCGAAAATATTGAGTAACTCAAATTTCTGAAATTAGAGTATCCGGACTCATGCCGTGATTGTGACTTTGACGGTCATTACAGCCAAGCGTGTTAGTTGACACTCCGCCATCAGTTTTAAGTTTTGTTTTTATGAGTCAGGGATGTTGACTATTGTGCAGTATACGCAGGGTGTATGTACTACATTGTTGTAGATGACAGTTCATGTCACTCTTGTTAGCTCAACGTGGCAGGGTGCAGTGGGAGGATAGACAAGGTCGCATGACAGTAGTCATTAGTCAATAGCCCACTAATACTCTGTCAAAACGTAGGTGCTCAGCGTGATGCGTTGTAGCTGCACAAAGTGGTACGAGCCGTCATTAGGCGTTCCAGACTATCAACATCGGAAACTGTGTCACAGGGCGAAGCCGTCATATTCGCGAGATAGCTTCTCGTGTATTGTAGAAATCAATATTGTAATTGCAGGGGAGGGGGGGGGGAAATGTGGCAAACACACATGCTGATGAGTGGATAAAACCAACCTGCGTACTATAAAGGTCGAAGGATTTCGCTGAGAATTTCAGTTCAACTTTTACAAGCCAAATCAAAAGATCAAGAATATCGAGCCTCCGAGAAAGAAACTAGAAGATGATCAAGGAATTTCTAGTGCTTGCTCTTGTGGCAAGTGTAGCCACAGCAATGAAAATGCCTGCAGTTCTTCAGAGTGAAGAGCACCCACTGCAGGGCTTTAGCTGCGGTGCTGACTCCACCCTTGGTGAATGCCTGGGTGAGCTGAAAATGGCGCTGACTGATCTACGGCAGTTTCTCATTGAGCATCACCGTCAGAGCGAATCTGACGTTCCAAATATTCTCAGAGGTCTGCCGCATCCACTCAAATGTATTCTCAAGCGCATGGCCTCCGAAGAGCAGCATGGCCATGAGCATGAGGGAGCGGAGAAAGGCAACGGTGATCGAAGCGAGAACGAAGAGGAAGCCAGTGGTGATACTTCTGAATTAATAGCAGAGGGACCCAACAATGGACCAAAGCGCAATGGCAGGCGCGGCGGAAGACGGAGAGAGCGCCCCACAGGTGAAACACAGGAGCGTCGGGGAGGTCGTCGTGGAGGTGGCAGTGATTCAACAGCAGAGGGCGAAAATCCTACGCGAGAATCAGGCGAAGGTCGTCGCCGCGGAGGACCACGCCGTATATGGCCCCGAGGTGAACGCCCAACTGATGAGTCTGGGGAGAGACGTCGTGGTGGACCTCGACGACAGAGGCCTACCCAAGAGCCCAGTGACGAGACTGACGCTGATGAGGGTGCACACAACGAGAACCAGGGCCGAGATGGTCGTCGAGGTGGTCCTCGTCGCCGAGAGCGACCTACAGGAGAATCTGACATGGCTAGAGATGGTCCACGCCGTCGCCAGAGGCCTACAGAAGATACTGCGGAGGAGAGCAGCGTCGAGGAGGGCTCCGTCACTGAAGAGCGGAGACGTGGTGGACGACAGAGGCCAGGTCGCCGTGAACGACCAACTGGCGAGACTGGGGAAGCGGATGGACGTCGTGGAGGCCGCCGTGGTCCACGTCGTGAGCGTCCAACAGGCGAGGTTGGTTCTGATGAGGAAGGAACAAGGCGTCGTGGAAGACCATTCGGTATCCAAAGACGCGGAACACGGTCAACAGAGGAGCCCACTAATGGTGACAGTACAGAGGGTGCACAGAGTAGCGAAGAGGGCCAAGGACGCCGACCCGGATTTCTGAATTGGGTTTTTGGTAGAGAGTAGGTGAAAAACACTTATGAGGACAACTCTCATTTCCCCCATCTAATGTTCTTGCGATCTTTAAAGCTGTTTCGTATATCACGTTATCCAACTATTTTTACAGCCTACAATCTTCCTACCTAAAATTGAGGCAAATGAGCACTGTTATATCCTGCCGCATAAATTGTTTCAATCATCCGTTTTCGAATACTTCAAGTACGCTGTTATTTTATGACGAACAATCTCAAGGTTTCATTATGCACATGTAGATTTCATATCATTGTAAAGATAAGCACCTCCTTTTTTTGACGTACTAATGCAGCGACCACCATGAATTTATACTTTCCTACCTTGTTTTGAAACTCGAACACAGTCGTGTTTTGCTTCTGATTTCGCGCATACTTAATACATGCAGTACCAGTACCAGTACATGAACCCTGATTTTTTAATACCAGGCCACAACTTCATTTTTTGCAATTGCATTAAGAATACAGTACTCTTTTCATTGGCTTGAGGGAAAGGGGCAAAAGGGAAAAGGCAGAGGAAACAATACTTCTTATCAGATTGGCTGTCACCACCAGCAGTTGAACCGGGGACCGAACCCTGATGCCAGGGGTGCTCTAGCCACTAAGCTATAGAGTAGCTGTAATCCCAGCACAGACCGTTCAGCATTTTGTTCAGACTTCGAAACTCACGACCACAAAGGTGTGAACCTACGCACCTACACAATCCAAGTTCCCCAGGTCATTTTTTTTCCGATCTGGATTCGATTTTACTCAAACGAATGAAAAACGCAACATTTCAAACGTTGGGCGAGCAGCCAGCCCGACAATGTTTCGGGTACTGAAGACTGCTCGGAGCTTTGGCCGAGCAGCCTGGCGAGCTCCACAGGCAACTGGAATGACGATCAGTGCTGGAGTTACAAGTCGGCATTTCTCTGCCGCTTCGCGTGATCAAATAACTAAGTGCCCAGTTTAAGTAGTGTGTACATAATTATACTTTGTACATGTGTATTGGTTTGTTGCAGAATCGAATTGATGTGGACAACAAACATTTTGAATTTGCTTCCAGTACATTATAAGTGTTAGTGGTGTAATAGCTGTGCTAGTACTTGTTAGCAACAATCCGAACTAGTGCACACACTGCACTGCATTGCTTTGTACTGCATTCAAGACTGACGTCATGCGCTTTGTTTTGCTGCGTAATCACAAATGGCACCAGCCCATTTTTGCGGAAAAGAAAAACAAATCTTGCTTGCCCAGTTGTGCTCTTCCAGACAACGGATCGTGCTTCAGCAGTGTTTCTTTTCCTTTCGTAGCTTTGCTGCCAGCCCGAGTGTCACCTCGACACTGTATTTCTTCAGTATGTCTGACCTTACTGTCGACACTGTCAAGGCAATGCCTTGCCAAGCCCTCCGCGGCGAGCCTTCTCAGCGCGGCTTGAATCCGAAAGGAAACTTAGTAAAAGTATTTTACAGGACTGTTTGCTGGCACAACTAGCCCTTGGTAGTGAGGTCTGCTCCGGCCAGGAGAACCAGCAACATGACAGCGCGGACACGGCTCGCGAGCCCAGAAGCCCGACGCGCACCAATGCCTCCTCCGCCAGCTCAGGTGACGAGGGCTCAACGGATCT